GATGACGAAACATGAAGAAGATTGTCTCATAAAGATTCAGGGTGTAGAAAAACCTTTCAAGTCTGAATAGCTAAGAAATTGAAGGTTGTCTCATACCAACAAGAAAACCTTGTGTCACGTTATACACCGCCTAAGTTTCTAATACCTTCTGTATTACTAAGTAAAAGGGATTAAGTTTAAAGGGCCATTCTTAAAGTATTTAAAGTTGGAAACTAAAAGATATCTGCATGAGCAAATGAACTTGATCTACAAAAACCAAACACAAAGGTGTATATATATATAGAAAACTGAGAAGAAGAAAGGATGAACTTAATCTAAAAACAGAAGGTAGACAAGGAACTGTTGAGGCCGGGCCGGGCCTAAGGTCCAGCCGGCTCAATATTTTTTGGGCTATGGGTGTACTTTTATACCCTTTTTTCAGATCCTTTTAATTTAGATACCTAGCCGAAGATATCAGAATTTTTAAAAAAAATTTTGGAATCCTTTTTAGATTTATTTATAGATGCCTCTCATGTTATAGCAAAGCTACACAGCACATAGCATATGGAAAAGGTATCCATAAAAAAATCCACTAGTCGAGCAAACACCATCAATCTATATATATCGAGGCAAAAGGGCATAAGAATTAGCCTTCTACAAGCGTTCAGTCCCAGAAAAACAAGAGGAAAATGATATACAAATTTCAAATGATCCATTTGCGTCTCACTGATCTCCAAAAACCATGAAGAGAGTTCATAAAGCAAAGGACGTTACATGCATCAAATATCTTGAGCCAGCAAGTATTGAAAGAACCCAAGCACTTCTAGCACGGAATGGAGCAACAAAAAAAAAACACTACGCAATAATATCTGAGACTGCACCACCATTAACTGATCCCAAATATGACCAAAGAAAGAATCATGCTGTATCCAAACAAATTATGGAAGAGGAAAAGGGCCAGACCAACTGTTACATAATACCCAGCTGTTACATACCACAAATGCTTCATTCTGTGTTCATCTGTTCTCGCAAAACTCATGCACCAAGAAACATAAACGAAAAGAACAAGAAATCCTTCGAACGCTTTCTTACAAGTACTTGCCAGTATCCCAGTAAGAAGCTGAGAAGAATGAGAAACTGTTTCTTAGTGAAGAGTATATGCTTGAAAAGAATGCTCATTTAGGATCCTAAAGCATCACCAAGCATCAAGGACTCTAAAGTCACCTATAAAAAAGTCAAGGTTTTAAGGAAGTTCGAGAATAAAAAACTTAATTCAAGAAAACTCTTGAATGGGAATGCCAACACGATACCAATGCATATTTATAACATTATGAAGACGAGAGGAAAAAAAATAGATGCTCACTTATAAATTCACTTGAGCTCAAAAATTAGTTATAATTTAGGAAATTATTCTTCTAATTGTCTAGAATGAAATAGAAAAGTAAAGAAATACTTGTCTTGATCTAAAACCAGAAGGCAAACAAAAAAGCCAGCTAGGAAACAATTGATGTAATCTTGTTGAAAACATAATCATCTAGATAAGTATCTGCACAAATTAGAACAAAACAAGCAATTGCGTAAGAGCTGTTAGAAGTTGAAAAGCACATGGAGATAAAAAGAGCAAACCAAACAGCCGTCTTGATGAGGTTAGTAATTATGAAGCTGGCAGAAGGTAACCATAAACCATTGCCAAAGCCTCAGAGAACTTCAGCACGCTTACTGAAAGCAGTTGACAGACTCCTGGAAGTGTCCGTGACCCTGAAAACCAAAGCTTAGAATAAGAACCCCAGTGTTTCCCATTTCCACACTGAAAAAAATATAACAAGCATTGAAATTGAAGAGTAGGCCATGCATTAAACATTCCCAGGGTAATCCTAGTCTTACATGTTAGTTGAAAACCGACTAATCCTGGAAAAACATGCAAAACAAAAGACTGATGAAAAATCCTCGATTCAAATGCAAAATCAAGGTTAAAGATGCCTTTTCCGTTACTGTAGTCAAGCGATCAGCTATAGAACATCTGCACTTAGTGAAAATAGAAGGACGCAGCCCAAGCAAGGCCAAGTTAATTAATTCCTTAAACACTTGAAAAACACATATTCTATTTTTCATTCAAAAACTATAGAGGCCTGGGAGCTACAAACAAACAGAATCAAAAGGTCAAACCCTACCTCCATTAGAGAAGTAGAAACTCTGCAACAAACAGATACAGACCGTGGCTTCCAGAACGTCATGTAATAAAGACAACTGTTCACATTCATGCGTAAGACAACTGTTCACATTCATGCTTCTGGAAAGATACACGATTGGTATCTTGGACTAAGCACTCAAAATTCTAAACCAACACAGAGAGACACAGGTAGATAAAGGAAAGGAGTAAGTAATGAATCAAACACTCCAAATCAATACATTGCAGTCCGTAAATGTTCCTTGATAAGTTGGGGTCCCAAGAAAAACGTGCAAGCAGAGTTTAGACACTAGAAAAAAAGACCTAGTTTTCACCCATGGCTTAAACCCGAAACTAATGGCAAAAAAAAAACAAAAGAAAGAAACAAAAAAGAGAGGAGAGGGTTACCTGAAATCAAACGACAATTGTTGTTGTCACTATCCTATACTGTGTTCAATCATATGCCATATAAAATAAAGAAGCATAGCTAAGGGTATAAGATGCAAAATCAGAATTAAAAAGCTTAGCCACTCAAGTTCTGAAACATCATTTATGCAGAAAACCCCATGCTCCTGGAAACAGGACAGAAACTGAATCTTGAACTCTCAAATTTAGTGTAAAAAACACTGGTTAATAATAGTCCATATAAGTTCCTAGAAAAACACTTCATGGTCAAATCATGAAAGCAAAGAGCAGGCGTTAGCTAGCCATGCCCTGGTATTAATAACTGGAATTGTAAATTAATTGTGAAAAAAGAACGTTAAGAGACTCGGTGCATTATGTACTAATGTAAAAAGCCTCGGGAGGGTAGTTATTAATTTTTTATTTTTTATTATACTATTAAATTAACTGAATTTATTAAATTTAAACAAGTTAATAACCTGATTTTTTAAATTTTTAAAAAACATTATCATAGTCTGAATACTATTTTTTACATTATAAAAAGTATGATCAGGCCCGACAACAATCCATTAATGTACTTCACCACGTTCTCTCTGGTCTCTACCATCACTTTTTTGTTTTCGTTAATCGTTCACCTAGCAACCATATATAGCTTGATTACACCTCGGAGGTTTTCTGCTTGATCTTCAGACCGGGTCTCTAATCACTACTGAAACTGGTTCTGCCCTAGGACTGTTCGGCCCTACGACATCAAACCCAAAAGACACTCTCACGTGTTCTCATGCAAAATGAAGTATCGGTCGATTTTACTCGATGCTGCAAGCATCCGAGCGAACCTTTCTCCATCGATTTAATTTGTAATGTTTTACACATCACATAAAACGTTTTCCAATATCCTTTTGCAATGATTTTTAATCTTACGACATTTCTCCAGTGGAAGTTGCAAACTTCCGAATGAATCTTTCTCCATAAATCTGTATATTCTGTGTGTACATAAAGCCCTTTCGAACATTTCTCCTAAATTTTTATATACTGTGTGTGCACAAGGCTTTTTCTAAATATCAATTCACATTTATTTTTATGAGGAAAATCATTTTAATTTAAAATTTAAGTTGTTGAATGAGATTTTAAGAATAATTCCTTAGTAATTATCAAATATATTCATTTAAGTGAAAGGTTTTTTAGATTTGGAACTTCTATACCCATCGCCATTCTGTATTAAATTTCAAGAGTTTAATTAAGAAAATAGAGATGATTAAATTATAATTTACAATTGTTTGGTTAATAGGATTTTAAGACATATTTAAAGAATGATCTTAACTTGTAAATTTAAAATGTTGCGCAAGACTCATATAATAATTTTATATTGAAATTATAACAATGAGTGAGTGTATTGGTAAAAATGTTACCTTTTCTCTTTCGTTGTTTAATTCTTATTATTTTTGGTAGCATTGGGAGGAAATTTGTTTAATTTAAATTTTGTTCAGATTTCCTTGAAAAATCACAGTAGCTTCAAATACATTGTACTATTTATTGGGATAATTCAATAAAAAATATTTATTTAATTCTTACGTGAATTTTGAGACTTACTCCTTCATTTTATTTTTGTTCTTTTACTGAATTGATTATTTTTTAAAAAAATCCTTTAATTAAATATAAAATTTATTTTGTATTCTAACTTCGATCTTTATTTTTTTAATTTATATTTCTAATAATTATTTTATATAATTAATTTTTTTAATTTTATCCTTCAATATTTGATTAATTGAGAATTTGATTTAATGATTTTTTAAATTGAGAACTTCGAGTTTAATGACTCGGGTCATGAATTTTAAAAATCAATATTAGTTTTGTTTTTTTAAAAAAACTTTATAATTCTTTTTAGTTTTTTTTATTGATGCTCCTTTTAAAAGGTATTTGAAAATGTGATAGTAATTGTTTTTTCTTAGAATTATATCAAAATAATATTTTTTATTTTTTAAAAAAATATTTTTAATATCAATACATCAAAATGATAAAAAAATATACAACAAAACTAATTTTAAATAAATTTTTTATAAACTATTATTTTTTTATTTAAAACATAATTCCAAATAACCTTATAATGCGGTCGTTCAGGGATCATCCTATTGGCCAAGAGAACAAACATGCCTCTCCAAGTTGGAACCATGTTGCTAACGTGGCTATGATAACCCGGAAAGTTATTTTAAAATACAAATTGGTCCGACAAATAGTATTCAATTGACAATATCCCAATTGCCATGTCATCAAAAGTTTACAGTAATTATTCATAAAATTTTAAGTATTTTTGTTCATGGACCCACACCCACTTGCACCCCCTCAGGTTCTTTAACTAATCCGTGAGAAGAACTTAAGATATCTTTCAAATCAAAATCAACCCATTAAACTGGAAATTTAATCCCTGCAACGAGACCAATGTTTTCCTCTCTCTCTCTCTCTGCTTCCGTCTCTCTCTTTCTGAATTACATGATTGTTAATTGAGGAAATCAAGTTATCAAAGTAATTAAGCAAACAAAATTGAAGCCAGGCGCATCACGACTCACGTCAGAGGAGTTGCTGCTTCCAACTTGCAGAGGTCTCTCTCTTCATCCCTCAGCATGATTTATCTCTCTGCACATTCTTTTTATCTCTTTTGGCCTTGTCTATCCAAACCCTTTCTCACGCGCTTCTCCTTCTCTTCACCCCTTATCCTCTCTATATATGCGCTGTGGCAGAAATCCAAGAAGTGAGCCCTCATAAACATCAACTTATTACGATAGTTCTGCAACCTTCCTTCGTCATTGTACTCTTCTTACGCTTAAAACAATAGTCGTGTGTGTTTTCATTCGTGTACTTATTTACATAGTTCTTTACGTTTTCAGGTCATGTGGCCAAGATTAGTAGCCAACAAGATCCTTGGAAAGAGATTGAGCAACAACAACTTTGTGGCAGATTTTCCAGGTGACTCAAGAACCTGTAGCTTGCTGGATATTTCAAGCTTAGGTCAAACATCGTTGAGCGATAACACCATCCGCAATCAGCGCAAGGACAACTTCCACGACTACAGGTAACTAAGCAAACATCTTATAATCTCTATCATTTTCTAATTAATATATCTATATAAAGTTAATTTGATCCTTAAATAATCTTATATACCCTTTTTTTTCTTTGATTGTAAATTTAGTGTTTTCGTCAGCACATGGAATGTTGGCGGGATTGCACCACAGGAAGATTTGGATATTTCCGATTGGCTAGATACTCCCAATAATATTTGCGACATATACGTTTTTGGGTAAGTAGTGTGAGTTTTGACAAGGAAGTTTAGCAAATCGGTAGTTTCCATTAATATATAATATTCTTCTTGCGTTAGTTTTTTTTTTTTTTAATTATTCTATTATCAGGTTTCAAGAGATTGTGCCTCTAAGAGCATCAAATGTCTTAGGTTCTGAAAATAGTAAGGTCTCAATGAATTGGAATTCATTGATTAGAGAAGCATTGAACAAGAAGATTCAGTATTGCCTAGAAAAACAGAAATACAACCACAAGCAGCTAGGTATAAGAACACAAAAAACCTCTTTCATCGAAGATGAAAGGACAGTATTCGAAAGCAGCATTCCTGAAGACTTCCGGTGTGTCATTTGTAAACAAATGGTCGGGATATTAATATCAGTTTGGATTCGAAGTGATCTCCGTCCTTACGTCCGGCATCCTAGTGTTTCTTGTGTAGGCTGTGGCATCATGGGCCTCGGAAACAAGGTACTATTTAGACATCTTAATCATGTTTATTTTCTTCAATTATTTTCTTCTATAACTGGGGTTTAACTGAGGTGATTTAATGCCAACATCTATCATTAATCAGCTAAATCACAGGATCCCATTAATTGGATTATTTCGGCAACAATACTTACAAGAGTTGACCATGTGTTAATACAACTCCCAACTTTCTAGAGCAACTTCTTATATTCGTTTTCCTCTCTAAAACTTGACTTCGCAGGGATCTGTGTCGGTTAGATTTCGGTTACATGAAACAAGCTTCTGCTTTGTGTGCAGTCATCTAGCTTCGGGAGGCAGAGAGGGAGATGAAAAGCTTAGAAATTCTGACGTAGCCGAAATATTTTCTCGAACAAGCTTCCATAGACGCCCTTCGCTTGATTTGCCGCGAAATATTCTAGATCATGAGTACGTGAATTAGGTTTTAGATTTTCGAAACCGTCCAAACCAATTCGTTATACATATGTTGATAGTTAATTTATCTTATACCTTCTTAATCAACGTTAATTATTTGACAAATTATATAATTAATGATGTTGGTCTCACTACTAACCAAAAATTAAAATGAGACAATGATAAAAACAAAATAAAATAAAACAAGAGTCAAAATATTGCCATCTTCCAACTTAGAATTTGTCGGCATCATGGGCTTAATTGTCAAGCATTCAAAAATTATAAAATCACTTTTTAATTATATATCATGTAAATTGCTCTCCTTATACTGTATTAATTTTAAATTTTTCGGTAGTTGAAAAAAAAAAACCAAAGACAGAAAGAAAGAAAGGAAGTGGGCTCCCTATAGTTGGTAGCTAAACCTCTCGGAGGGTTGATTTATACGTTTGTAAATTAGCAATCTATATATATTTATTTTTCTTGTGTGTATAATTAAGCCTTTTCTTAGAGCAAAGTTGACTTCCTAATGAAGTTAAGATTTTTCATCAAGACTCTAAAAGCTACTTTATTAGATCAATATTTGAGCGTCAGCTAAATTTTCCTGATTGAATTTCTGCAGCCGGGTAATTTGGCTTGGAGATTTGAACTATAGAATTTCTCTACCAGAAGCAACAACTCGATTATTGGTGGATAGAAAAGAATGGAATGCATTGCTAGACAATGACCAGGTATATATATTCAGAGTCAATCTTTGCTGCTTTTGCTTCTATAGTGCCACTCTCTTCATGACCTGCTATGTATTCCCTTTCGTCTCTTCGATTTTCATTATAAAAAAACAAAGTTTTAAATTCTTTTTTTCAAAAAATAATATTATCACCAAAGATAGTATTTTGATTTCATATGTATTAGATGGCCAACAGTTATGAATTTAAATTTTATTATTTTTATTTTAATTAATAAAATTAAATACAAGATAATACAAACCAAATAATATAAATTACATATTAAAATTTCATCTAAAAACTTAAAACTTTTGATATGGTTTTGTAAAATTTTTGTTATATAAGGCTTGAAATCTTTTGTTTTCACGGAAATTAATGAAGCTAAGGATGGGGCTCGTAAATGGACAAGTATTTGAAGGTTGGCATGAAGGACTTATCAAATTTGCTCCCACTTACAAATATTGCCTGAAATCAAATGTATATTTTGGATGTGCTGAAGGCCAAAAAGGTGGGAAGTGGCGTGCCCCTGCATGGTAATGAACTAATTATCAACAAATTAATCTTCTGATTTAGAGTTCATTTACACACTCGTACGAAGTTGAGTACTTTTTACCTTCATTCTTATTTAATATAGGTGCGATCGGATTATTTGGCACGGGGAGGGGCTAAAGCAACATTTGTACACTAGAGGTGAGTCAAACTTGTCTGATCATAGACCAGTCAAGGCCATGTTTACTGCAGAAGTTCAGGTTTCAAGCACATTAAGAGGGCTTCAAAAAGTCTTCCTATCAGAGAGGTTTGATCAAATAACGACCAGATTTAAGATGCCATTATCCGATCGATATCCATGTAAGAGCAGATCAAGCTTCAAATTATAAAAAAAGATACATCAATCAGTAACCACACATATATCAATGTATGTATACACCCACATAAAGTAAGTGATTATTTATATTATATTATCTAATACAGAAAGGGATTTAGAAGCTTCTGTTAGTTGCTCTGATCTGCTGATGAGAATGCAGTGCTGTTTGTTTTCAGATCTCCATGTGATTGTATTAGAGATCAGATATTGTCCTAGTCATCCTTCCATTTTCGTTGGATTATAAATCCAATGCCTGTTTAGTCTACAATTATGAAGATTTTTTCCCAAGAAAAATAAAATGAAGCAACCTCCAATGATTAGCACAGTCTAAGAATCAAATTTGATTCACTAATTAATCTAATTAACCATGTATTTAAGACCTAATTTTAAAGAAAAGAAGATTGAAAATGTAAAACAAAGAACATATGACAACAAGTAGCTAGCTAGAGACAGTCCACGAGGGATAAACTGGTGTGGGCATGATATATTATTTGTTTTTCTTTTATTATTATTATTTCGGATATATAATATAATCACAGACATGATTCAGGAAAATAGAGTTTAAAATCCCAAGTGGGTTAATTAAAAGAAATTATTGGTGTCTTTTGGCGTATGCCAATTCTATATGATTGTATAGTTGTTGAACAATAAGCAATGATATTAATTATAGAACGCATGTTAGGATATATTTTAGAGATGACGGTGACTCTCGGTCCAGTCATCTGAAAAGTAAATATATTCTCCACATATATGGTCTCAGTAGCTTTATATTAATTTGCTGAGATCACAACAGTATAGATGCTTGATGACAAAACTCCTATGAGATTAATTTCTTACATCCGGCATCGTCTGGATAAGATTTCAACAGGGGCAGATAACTTTTGAATTCTCTATTTTTTATTTTAAAATAATATTTTTTTAAAATTTTATTTTTAATATCAGCACATTAAAACAATATAAAAATACTAAAAAATTAAAAAAAATAAAAAATCTTTAATTTTTTTAAATAAAAAAATAAAAAACATAAACACAAATTAGGGCAATCACTCTCGTGGTCTATAATGAATTTGGTTGTTGAAGATGTGGATATGCGCTAGTTAATAATTTATTAAATTTATATTATTATTATTTACTTTCTAGCATGTGATTTTGTTGGGTATACATAAAATGGCGTCGGATTGTTGGTTATGTAATAATATTTTATTTGAAAAAAAAAAAAAAACCTGGTCAGGTCCAGGTACCCAGAAGGTGGAAATGCTACCGCCCAATCTATTGCCATTTCTAGGCCTCGCCGAGGAATACATTTTCCTTTTTTTTGTGAACCAAGAATACTTTTGTGTTATTTAAATGTAGATATGCCAGAATCCTAAATTGCCTGAATATATAGTTGACAGATAAGGATTAGCTGGCTGGCTTCTTTTTTCTGGAATGACTAGCTATTATTTTGCTTCTTATTAAGCGATCTAACTTCATTTCTTCGTTCAAATTCTTATTCACCAGACTTTTGTTCTACCATATATTTTGACAGCATTCTTCTTCCACAAAAAAAAAAAAGAAAAAAAAAAGATTGTTTACTCAGTCGTTTCGATATTCAAAGAACAAGCTCTTGAAAAAGAGAGATGTCAACCTTCACAAAACCTTCAATGCAAAAATCTTCACGTGATGATGCCGAGCAACTAAACCGTGCTTTCAAAGGTCTCTACGTAGTAATGTTTCTTTACTTTTTGTTGATTTCTTATTAGCTAGCTAGGTAGCTTCTTGATCTTTGTTAATCTCTCCTCCTAATGATCTCCACCTAAAATGTGTTAGAAAAATTAAAGGCATTGCATTGACTCTTCTATTATCTTTAAAATCAGGATTAGGCTGTGATGCTGCGGCAGTTGTGAATATTCTTGCACTTAGAAATGCATCTCAACGTGATAGCATTCAACAAGAATACGAGACCTTGTTCTCAGATGACCTCAAAAAACAATTGGCTCATGAGCTTCATGGCCACCTCAAGGTACGTACGTCCAGGTAGGACAGAAACTTAATTTGGAGTTAATTTATATCCACACAGTTTTGCGATTATTCTTTCATGGCCATCTCAAGGTACGTACGGCCTGGCCAAGCTAGCCAGTTCTATTGAATGAGGTCCTGATCCTGTTATATTTTAAATTTTCAGAAAGCAGTTTTATTATGGATGAAAAGTCCTATAGAACGGGATGTTACAACATTGAGACAGGCTTTGACAGGACCTATTTTTGATGTCAAAGCTGCCACTGAAATCATATGTACCCGTACTTCATCCCAGATTCGACAGATTAAGCAAGTTTACACTCCTACTTTTGGCACGCGACTTGAGTTTGACATTGGGTGTCACACATCCGATGATCATAAAAAGGTTAGGTCCTTCCTCATTCTCTCTCTAATCGTGCATTATAAGATTTTATAGCTCTGATACGAGCACCTTCCCTGAATGATGGCCTGGAAAATACCGTGCTCGATGTTTGTTTTGTCCTGATAAAATTCTCCAGTACTATACCTTCTGATCAGGTTCTATCTTTAAATTTATTGGTTATGAGTGGCTCCTGAAAGGGCTACTTAATTATCTGATTGGGTATAGTTGTCATTAACAGACAGCAAAGTATATATGAGGAAATAGAAGTCCAGATAAAGCATCAATTAACGAGAAGAAAGCTGTTTATATTTCTTTCGAATCTGCTGTTGTCTGAAACGACTTGAGGGCTTTAAACTTCACAGTTAATGAAATCATGAGATTGGTCTTAAAAATAGGCTGTAAAGTGTTTGGGTTAATTAGGTTGAAGATGAAGTATCGTCTAGTTCCTTCAAAGACACCCTTTTTGGGATTTCAATTTTCAAAATTTATTGTGGTTTGATTCTCTCCCTTCTTTTCTCTTGATAGTTGCTACTCGCATTTATAGCCATAACACGGTACGATGGCCCAGAAATTGATAGTCTGTTGGTAGAGGATGATGCTAAAGCTATCAACAAAATTGGGCTGAAGAAATCTGGAATGGATGAGAGCACTTTCATTCAGATTTTCACTGAAAGAAGCTCCGCACATTTGATTGCCCTTGCTTCTGTTTACCATAAAATGTTTGGAAAGGAACTGAGAAAGGTATAGTTTCATCTGCACTGTGTTGTGATTTATCTACTTTTACTTCCATATTCTTCCTATGGCACTTCATGACCGTGCTCAACTTGCTGCAGACAATTAAAAGAGAAGCATCAGGGAATTTCAAGTATGCCCTTCTAACAATTTTGCAATATGCCGTTGATCCAACAAAGCACTATGCAAGGGTATCATCACACTAATTAACTTCTCTCATTTGTAATCTATATATTAACACAGTTTGAAGTTTTTGGTAGTTAGCAATTGAAATCTCCTTATTTGTCAACAATTAGTCTCATCATTGAATGGCTCTACAGGTGTTGCGCAAGGCAACGAAAGGTTTGGGTACAGACGATAGTACTCTAATCAGGATACTGGTTACGAGGGCAGAGATTGATTTGCAGAAGATCGAGGAAGAGTTCTTGAAGAAGTACAAAAGACCATTACCTGAAGTTGTTCATTCAGAAACATCAGGTCACTACAGGGCCTTCCTTCTTTCCCTCTTAGGCTCTAAGTACTAGCTCTAGATCTCTTCTGTGGAATTGTGTTATCTACTGTATGGATTCCTGACTAGTAGTTTGACATACCGAGTATGAATGATATAGAACATGACAAGCTGTTTCATGACATCGAACAACGACTATGGAATTCGACATGCCAACCGAAAGCAGTGCGAAGTTGATAAGAACTGGATGGTGGGTTTTTATCCATCCTTGTTCCTGGCTTGTCAATCATAAAATTTCCCCATCAACCACACAGAATCTTTAATTTGTGTGGTTGGTTGGTTGTTTGCTTATTTTTGACACAAGGATGGGGTCTGATGTTGATTTGGCTGTCTGTATCAATATTGTCTGAGAATATTAATCCTGCAGAATAAATTTGATAAATAATCCATGGACTCAGCAAGCTTCCTGAAATCATGATAAGAATTTAGGATACCGAGAAACTGCAAAATTCCCTACAAGGTTGAATATTTTTGGATGATATTATTCATATCTTCCAAATTCTGATTATTCTGAATTCGTTGTCAGGTTCTTTTGCTCGAGTTAGCCAAATTAAAATCATTTGTTACCTTGGACTAGCAAGCCATGGCAAAAATTGCCTAGGTTTATGATGTAAATTGAGTGGTACTAGTCATACAACCCTTTAAGAATCTTACTTTAATTAATGTAATACCAAGCAAGTTATATTGATTGCTCTAACAAGCAGAAGAAGAAAGGCTTGTTATACTTGATAATTTTCGGAGCTAACAAGCAGAAGAAGAAAGGCTTGTTATCAATAATTTATTCGGAGACTTGAACTTTAAAAATCAATAATTTAGGTTGTCAAGGCTCCTAAATAAATAACCCTAAATAAGTATTAAGCTTTCTAATAGGCAAGACATAACAACAATTTTGTTTGCATTATGAGGATACATATGGAATGAAATAGATCTTGCACAGTAAATGTTATGTCAGTTTATTCAATTTAGCCCAGATGGACAAACATATTAATAATCTGCTCTGATATTTTCTCTGTAAGGATTATGGACACCACCTATCTCCATATTGGTATGATATTGTCCATTTTTTGCCTAAACCCTCATGAATTTGCTCTTGGACTATACCTAAAAGACCTCATACCAATGAAGATATTTGTTCATCCTTATATACCCTTGATCCTCCCTATTTCTAACCAATATGGGACTTTGGTCGCATACTTAACAATCCTCCCCTCGAACAAAGGACCGCCGAGCCTCTACTCAAACAATCATTCATCCGTCCACTCTTTACCAACCAAGATTCTTCATTCTCTACTTCATCGTGTTGGGATCAGGATACATCCATGAAGCATCTGAAAAGCACTACTTGACTTGAGAGTTTGCTCTTTCTAGGTCAACTCATCTTTACTGTGTTGAGGTCAAGACACGTCCATGAAGCATCTGAAAAGCACTACTTGACTTGAGAGTTTGCTCTTTCTAGGTTAACTCATCTTTACCATGTTGGGGTCAGGACACGTCCATGAAGCATCTGGAGCACACCGCCTATCCAATAAAGCTGATCCATGATCGTGACCACCACCTTTTGTTCAGTATTTCAAGAATTCATCCATCATGGCTAACTCTGGGGCATGGATCTGCTACCACTTGTCAGGACTATGGTCACCACCTATCTCCACATTGGTATGATATTGTACACTTTGGGTCTAAGCCCTCATGGATTTGCTCTTGGGCTATATCCAAAAGACCTCATATCAATGAAGATATTTGTCCATCCTTATATACCCTTGATCCTCCCTATTTCTAACCAATGTGGGACTTTAGTCGCATACCCAACATTCCCTTTCTCTTCCTCTTTCCTTTCTAATAATGAATGAAAAAGGAATTTAATGGCAGAGAAACAATGATCTAAATATCTCCACATATTCCACAGAGATGCCTATCCACATCTGTATCCTTGAAACATGGTCTTCCGGCGATTAATTTTCCAGGTCAGAAATAAAGCGTATCCTCAAGCTATTTAACTGTCAAGTGCTGGACTTGTTGCATATGTTGTAGAGTTCTGTCTTTCCAAGTCTTTTCGGGAACCTTGTCTCTTTTATCTCAGACTGTACATAGCCATGGCTTCCAATCACGAGCACAGGCTTCATGCATTCGGTGTGGCACTATTGTATTGCACATCTTTGGTCATTTTTAAAACCAGTCTGATGTTGCTCTTCAGGTCGTCTGAAACCTCTCGCTTCTCTGTCCGGGCCTTATTTTTATGTCCTATACCTGCCTAGCTTCCGAAAACATGAACATCCTAATTATGGGCAGTATGATATGGGGATAGTTTCTTGCAGTTGGGTAGCTCTCCGTCTGAAGTTTCAGCACTGTAGCCCACGCGCCCCGAGGAAGAAGACGAGTGAGCCACACACGCGCCATATTTGAGCTGCGCCGAGCCAAGCCTCAAGCCGAGCCGCGAGCCATATTTCGAAGCCGAGCCGAGCTTCAAGCCATATTCCGAAGCCAAGCCAAGCTCCGAGTCATATTTTAAAGTCAAAGTCAAAAAGAATATTCCTTGGAATATTCCTGGTTCAACCCAGCAAACCACCTGAATTGGTTTTTGGACAGGTTCACTCCATTTTGACCCATTTTCTACAAAGTTAGATCGGTTCCTTACTATTTGGACCATTCCGGATCCATCTACGGTGTTGGTTTTGCCAAATTCAACTCCCAAAA